GCTCCAGCAGCCGCGGTTGTCGCTGGACCAGCAGCATCCACTGTCGTCGCTGGCCCCGTTACCAAAACAGCGGTAATCGGAGCTTCATCCTCCGCGGTTATCGCCGGAGGTCACGCCTGGTAGTCAAATAAAACCGAGCCTCATAGATATACAACCTCGTACCTTACTCAAAGCTATTCAGACCATTTATAAATCATTCCTAACTGCGGCAAGATCACTGCCTACGTGTTCGGCTACGTATACGCTTATACAAATGTATCTGTTTAATTATATAAAATAAACTATATTACATCTCGAATTCTAGAGGAGTATCTAATATCCTACATCCGAAGCAAACTACTTTTCCTTTGTGGTTGCAAAATAGTTTGCTAATCAAAATCAAATTTCCGCACAAAGGCTTGCCTCTTGTAAAATTTGAGGTATTCGAAATACCTTTTTCCACGTGGTTAATCGCTTTAAATACCCTGAAAAGCCGCAGCAAATCCGGGAATTTGAATCGACGCGTCGGACGATCGATACGTCAGCTGCGCAATGGCAATCCAGCCCTGGCTCCTACACAAAAAGGCACGTACGAATAATTTTGTAACTGCGCGCGCGATTCAGAACGCGCTTAGAGACAACTCTCGGCTAGATCTCCACCTGGCATCCCCATCATGAATATTTCAACGTACACCTCTGCCGTGCCACCGTTGGGATCACAGTAACGGGGAGGGAAAGGCAAAGCTTGCACCTGTGCACCATAGTCGGCTAATGTCGCTGCGAAAAATCATCGAAGAATGTCAAAACGAAAGCCCAGACCGGGATAACAATGCGTACCGCTCGATCCATGGAATTATGTAGTCATAATCGATTCACTGTCAAGTACGGCAATCGACAAGTCAGCCGACTGATCGGCCGCCCGCTATTTTTCCTCTCGTCGCGCTAATCGAGACACGGTAGCGTGGCTGTTGTCGCGGTTACGAGACTGGAACGGATTTTCTCTTCAAGGACCTGTAACGGTCGTCCGCGAGTATGCGATGGATTTATGGAGCTCGTGATGTCAAATATGATAAACAATGTCGCAACGTGAGATATACACCGACTGACATTATCGTTCTGAAAAAATGGAGATACGCATTCGAGTTTCTTGCAGGTGGTGGTTGGAAACTAATGGAATAAAGGAGAAGAGAGAAGCAGAAGGTTTAATTAATAAATTGTTTTTTCTGTTGTAATTAGTACAGATTACGAGATCGTCCAACTTCAACGTATAAAAGTAATTAGTAAATATATACGTGTTCTCTTTTAGTTTATTCTCAATTAGTTTTGCCACCAGAGTAATTTTAACCGGATTTTAAAGTAGAATGCTGCAAGATTGTTTGAGTAATTACAAGGAGGATAAGAGCTTGAAGTTAGCTTTTAAATGTTTTGTTTGTAAATTATTTAATTCGCTATTTACTAATCCATTGTTATTATTCATTGAAATTAATGTAGGAAAATTTTCTTTCCTCAGAGTAGTAATACGTATAGTAATAATACGTATAGTAGTACTACGTATAGTATAGTTAAATGTAGTAATACGTATGTAGTATTTAAGTAGCCTAGAGTAAGGACAAGAAAGGATGTTCTGTTTGAAGTGAAGTTTAGTTTTATTTTAACAAGCAATACCCAATGCAAAAGCTGACAACAATATCTTCGTACGTCTTATTTTCACACTCGGCTCACAACTTCTGTCTTCCCAGGTCAAAAAATGCTGACCCTCAACCCTCGCACCCTTCTCCCACTCCTTTACTCATTTAGCTTTGACGTCACCAAGGCATACACTCTTACTTACACTCCCTCTCTCTCTTTCTCTCTTCCCCAGCACTCTTACGGTTCTTAGTTCATAGCTTAAATTTACAACTTACACTATCCCGAGACAACTCGAACTTAAATATATGTTAGACCAAGCGTATATCCCCCCTTTTTTATATTACACATATTAAATGTGGTAACACATAAAAAGTGGTAACACGTCATTAAATGGAAATAAATCACCCGAAGTTCAAGTTTGATACAACCAAGATCAATTTGAATATTTTTGTCATTTTGATGGTCGATAGATTACAAGTGTCCTTTCAACTCTGTCAATCTTCGCTGCTAGAAATGAATTACGAACACGACTCAGACGCATTAGAAACAGTGGACAGAGATCATAACAGGTTTCACGAGACTGTCGAATTAATTAGATACCTTTGTCCTTCAAATGCAACGACTTAACGGTATATTCTAGACCTAGCAACGCGACACAATGAGATGCATAGAACTATCCGGCGGCTTAACGCAATATCGGCCACGATGTCGTGTACTCGTGCGAGCCTACCAACATGAACAACACGCTATTCGCGTTTAATTCTCCGTTCGCATGTTAGTACACACGTTTCATCGATCCAAGGCCTGTTTGTCCGGGTTCATTTGCTGTCACGGCTATCGTCTATGTTAATAACGTTAATTGTTCGAACCACCTAATTATGGTTTGTCACTGTTATCGTTGTTATGTCGAGCGAAATAAAAAATATGACGCGGGCCCGATCGTTAAGCGATTGCATTTGAAACGAACTAATTAGTTCGGGAAGACACGATATTGGCTGTGTAAGTTGATAGAACGCGATTAACAGGCGACGATAATGAAATCGAAATTGGTTGATTCGAAGCGTTCATTCGAATAAATCAGGGACGGTTGTAAATGTTTCGTGAAATCGTTTGATGTCGATTGCGAATTCTTTGTTTCTTTGTCACGAGTACGATACGATATAACGACAAATATACGATACTGTATAGTCTAGAAATTAGATTTATGGTTTATTTTTACTGGAAATGGAGAACAGACATATCAGATCTGTAGTCAGCTTGAGGTATTTTAAATAGCGGGGAACAATTTAAAAAATTCACTGTTCTATCAAAAGGTCAAGAAGAATTCAGACGACCGAACTGTTTCGACTGAAACGGAGTCCCCTCATCGATAAATCCGGTCCCGATGATGCATTTGCGACTATTTTCACTCGACCTACTCCCAATCTCAGAAATATTAATCGGAATCCCACGTTTCCACTAATAATCGCGTATCTTTCACGAAAGGAATGACACGAGCGATATTGGCGCACAGAGAGACGATCGATGGAAGGGAACGAGATGTAGCGTCACGCAAACAGGGCCAGAAACTTCCCGATAATCGATAGCCTTTGACACAAAGACCGGGAAAACCATTGAAGAGATGACGTCTGCGAATCAAACGGAATATTCTTGAAAAGGAATGCGGCCTCGCCAACTCTCGTCACAAAGACTTTGACTTTTCGATATATTCTCGCCTAGCGATTGCGATTTTCGACGCACCCCCTGGGAATCCTCTGTTACCCTGGAACCACGCGAAATTCGTCGCTAGCCGTGAATTCTATTTTTTTTTAGTCGATCTCTAACCGAAAGGTCACGTAAACGGGCCAATCACAAATAGAACGAGAAGTGGACGTCGATGGCCGAATTTCACTTCCGTCCGCTGGCAACTGCCATGTAATAGAATAATAAAATGACATAGTAGGCCAATAGCGTGTCGTGCCATTCTTGGAAAATGCGACATCGTTCAGTGGTGAATTGTTCGGCGGCTTTGCGACTCATTAACACTGGTATAGAAGTTGAAATTGTTATTGGTTTAGAATCGATTGAATGTCGAGTTACGGAGAACATTCGCACGATAATATTGGCAGACGTGGTTAATACGATAACAAATATTAATGCACGAAGTTAGCATTGCCGTAACAACTCCTGCTTCTTCGATTATTCGAGAACTCAAAACGTGACCAACGTCGACTCGCCATCTCTTCCTCCTAACTTTCCACCTAAACAGCGGAAGCAACTTATACTGGGACGCGTTCTCTTCCTCCAAGTTTCCCCAATTATTCTATCAACGGAGAGAACTCTTCCCAAGTTTGGTGGAAGTGCAACGTTTCGTGGAAACGTGGCTCGCCATAAATTCAAACGGGGACGACGTAAAGGCTCGCAAGTCACCGCGATTTCCAACTTGACAAATCTGACACGCGCAATTACACCGTTCCAGACCGGTGCCAGCCAACGCGGATTCAAAGGACGGATCACCCATGGTCATCACGAAAAAACTGCTCGGCACGGTACGGACGAAATAAAAGGGCGCACGCGAAACGGCCAACCACCCTCTCCGTTGTTTTATTCGCACGCCATCGACGCTCGTTTATTCTTTACCATGCGGATTCTTTGCGAACAATCGACTCGTTGTGCCCACGTTTCCCAGAATTTGTAGCTGGAAATTGATTTATCCCATTTCGTTTTCCCTTTTTCCTTAACATGTATTGAGTCTCGTATATTGTACTGCTACCTGTCGTTGTAATGAAAAAAAAAAAGAAATGTGATTTGATATCCTCGTGATGTACAGTACTGTGCAAAAGTCTTGCACAAAGTACTTATTCTTATTGATGTTTAACAAATGCCTATTTTTAATAATAAAAATAAAAGTAACTTGAAAAGGTTATGCATCAGGAAAGCCAGAAATAAAAAACATAAATGATAAATGTAAATAACGTCGTGTACAAATACTTGATTCCCTACAAATATGATTAATTGCCATTATAAGCTCATCATCATACTATGTGATATCTAATACTTTTGCAGAATATTGTACGGTGTATTACACTTGATCTTTTTTGAAGAATCTCCCAAATCAATGTGTGCATCTGTAGTAAACAAGTAACGTAAAAACAGTACAATAGACGTAAAAATAACTACATCGCGCGTCTTGAAAACACAATGGGCTCGTTATTCCCCCATAGCTTTTTCAACCTCGTTAGACAACCGTTCAGCTTGTTGAAATTTCAACTCGCAACACATCGCGAATATAAACACGTCCCTTAATACCCGGAGCGTGTAAGGGATCTATTAAAATCGCTGGTTGTTCCGACGAAAAACATCGTTGTTCTGATTATCCCCTGGTAAACCACGGATAATTCGGACAGGACAGAATTTCCCTGGCTTGGTCCCGGATTTTAACAATTACACCTGCGCGCGGCAGTTATTAACGTTTATCAAAGTGGCTGAAATACATGGCGAGAATTTCGTGGCGAAAATGAGCTTGGAACGAGGTGATCAGCGAATTTGCCACACCGTACGTTGCTGACCAACGCGAAAATTCTATTCCCCTCGCGACAAACCGTTATTGTGGTAACAGGCCGTGCGCACACGTTTCGAGGCTGAAACACGTCTCCGCGTGATAACAGCACTCGTCCGTGTGACGTTGGACCCGGAACTCCGCTATGTCGCCTACTCTAATCCCGGCTGTCTGTGACCGCGCCCTGTCTCGTTTGTTATTCCCACTTTCATGCGGGGTTGAAGGTTGCATCGACGATATCCAGGATCATCGATCGCGTATATAAGGCGGCGTGTCAAGAGGGTTGAGCATCAGTCACCAGTCAGCTGAAGACAGATACAGCAATCAACATGAAATACTTGGTGAGATATATTCTTCCTCGAAACTTCTCACTTGTATCGAAAGTTCAACTAGATTGATTTGATTATCTGTTCTTATCACGCTCTTTCTGTATAATCTTGCGATCAGGCAGTAGCTACCTGTCTCGAAGTATCACAGAAACATCAAATCATATCACTTTTTGTATCACTCTTTTTCTATACAATCTCTTGATCGAACAATAGTTACCTGTCTTAGACTATTATAGTAGCATTAGATAATTGCATGAGATTTTTTTACCACAATTTACATTTACCTTGATATCTTGATATCTGTTCAGATTGATCTTGATCTTTACGTAAGTCTTGTCTAGATAATTTAAAGCCCTGAACAAGTTGGGCGAAACACTGAAATCTAAACGATTTAAACAAGTTGAATGAAACTCTGAGACTTTGCTTAAATAATCTATACCGAACTAGAGCTACATACACTTAAATCTAAATCAACCACATCTCAGGTCGTCCTTGTTGCCGCCCTGGCCGTCGCCTCAGCTAGCCCCGAGCGCGAACGTCGTTCCCTAGCCTGGGGACACAATGGTGCAGTGGTGTTGGGTGGTGTGTTACCTGGAGTGGCAGTAGCTGGACCAGTGGCTCCTTCGGCTGCGGTTATCGGACCTGTCGCTGCACCAGCAGCCGTGGTTGGGCCTGCTGCAGGTGCTGCCGCAGTAGTTGGGCCTGCTGCTGGCTCTGCCGCCGTCGTGGGACCGGCTGCCGGTAACTTATACGTTCTATCGCTTTGAACTGCTTCGACTAAACGTAGATCTTGTACGTGAAGTTTGGTAATTATAACAGATTGACCAGCGAAGTATGGTAATACTGGTTATTGAAACTTCGAAATCATTTCGGTTAATAATTCTGACTAACTCTGGAGATTAACGAAATTCAATTTGGTAGTGAACATTTTAAATACAACAGCGGAGTACAGTATACAGTACATTACTGTTTCGTTATATTATATCAAACTTCATTGTAAAGGATTATATTAAAGTATGAATTTATTAGAGTAGCGAGAGAAATTACATGAAAATAGAAATGTAAAACAAATTGTTTCTTTTGAAGGTTCCGCGGTGGTCGCTGGTCCCGCAGGAACCGTGGTGGCGCCAGGAGCCGGTCTACTGTGGTAGAACGTCAACCGTAACCCTGGATTCTCCAAGACAACTCGAACGATCTCTCTCGTGAACCTGAAAGCGGCTACTCATCGATCTCCATCCGCAGGACTTCGATCCAAGCTCAGCGTTGTTCGATAACAGAACACATCTCCTGATATCGAGAACGATGGAACAACGACAACTCTTTTTTATTTATAAATTAAATCTGTTCGATAAGAGTTAAACGAACAACGCGTTCGAGTTTCTACGAGGTTCTTTCGCGAATTTTTCTTCTTGTAACTAGCCATATTCTTGTTACGCTTTTGTACATTAATAAATGAAGCTCCATTGTACAGTCACTTGGTTTCGCAATACTTTCAATTTCAAGTATAATCCCAATAGCCGAACCGAGACAACGACTCGTTTAAGTGAAGTTTAATACTATTTAACTAGCCATAAAAGTTATCCACCACTCGTCGTCCTCCGAGGACCAGTTGTTCCAGTTTCTAATTAGATTGTTAAACGTATTACTGCTGTTCCTCGCCTGTGGCCGCTGCCAATGAAAAGACACGTGAAATAACGAATCCGGTGCAACTTGGAGGGCCTACCAATGGCCAAGAAGCTGCAACTTAGAAACTGCAATTTAAAGTACAACTACTTTCCTTGATTATGACTTGGCTTGTAAACTGCGTAAAAGCGACTGTAAATTGTAGACGAGGGAATTCTTCCAAGTAAATTTAATAGACGAGTACTTTAACGAGTACTATTATATTACTTAAGCTTGTGCCGTGTTCTTTGAATCATTTTCAAGCAAATCGAATCTTTCTATAATCATAAATAATATATAATAATGTAATAATAGGATATTTTCTATAATCTCTTATAAAAATTTTAAGAATTTTAATTCTAAATTGCAAAGTTTATTGAAAAATTAAACGTCTATTCGTTCATTGACACGAGAGGAAAATTGATACGCAAAAGTTTGAAGATCGCAATAGAGTTAATGATGAACAGTAACCCTTTAAAATTGAGTGATACATGTTAAATGTTTCAATTAACCATAAATAATTGGCCACGTTTCATCATTTACAAATGTAGATTACAGATTTTGGAACGAAAATGACCGAATCAGACGTTATAGAGAATATGCCAACAGGCGTGCGTTGTGTTACAACGAGGAAACATACTTAATTATCACAGTTCAATTACTTTTGGCATCAGATAATTATCAAATCGATTCTTTAGCTATGCGACAGCACCAACTGTTGCATTAATGTCATACATTTATAATTAACTGATTAATCATACCATTTGAGTGTTTAAACGGTGAATACGTTATTAACGCGCAGCATATATAACTACGATAATTAATATATAAATCGAAAGACCGAATAATGCCAGACATTTTGAATCGTTGGGAATTTTCTGGATAATACACATTTCAATTGAATTATGTACGAACGATTATACCGCCGATGTAGTTCGATTATGTTCCTTTCCATTTGTCGTATTTTACTAGACTCACAAATTAGAGGGCTTAATGTTTTCGAAGAAAAATAACGCAGGCAAGTATTTTTGTGGTTTTTAAAATAAGTTTATTATCTGATAGAAAAATTTAAATTACAATGGGAAGGGGGAAATGTATAATTTTCCATGGTGCCGATTATAGGGGATCGATCGGAGTTGCGGCCGAAAAGGGGTGTCGGGTGTGACCAATCGCCAAATTCGAATTTTTCACGATGAGAAAAAATTCCCATCGTCGATGTTCACTGTAATACTTCAGGTCCAGTTACGCCGGGATATTAAATAGTGATTTACCATCCTTTCAATCCCCACGCTGGGGCGGCTAGGGCGGGAGCAGCTACTACTGCTGCTGAAAAGAACAGAAAATTTACATTTAATTTGTACTGTTTCGTGCAACATTGTAATTATTCATGGCAACACTATGGAGTAACCAAACTTCCATGAAAACGTATTTTCGAATGAATGCATAAATCAAAATGTATCGACGGTATATGAATAAAAAAAATGTAATAAAATCTATCAAAATGTCATTTCCCTAGAAAACCCTGGATATCGAATACTCCATAGCAAGAAATAATCAGTTGTGCATTTTCCTCTATTACACGAATCTATCGTATTGTCTATCGTACACGATATTCATATTTTTCTTAATTGATAAAAATCGAAGATACTTACGAGCCGCAAGGAGTTTAGCAGCGGGAGCAGCGATGGCAACGGGGGCAGCAGCGATTTTGGGAGCAGCAACCCATGCTGGGGCTGCGAGAGCTGGAGCCGCAAGGATTCCACGGCGCTCTCGTTCTGGTTCAGGGAAGGCCGCAACGACGGCAACGATGGCGAAAAGGATCAACTTCAAATACAATAAAATCCTCTTGTTACCATGTTATACTTATAAATGACACTCAATAAAGATCATTAATATCGCGAACCATCGTGATTATCAACGATTACAAACGATTACAGTTGGTATTTACAACCGTGTTTGCAAATCAATCTTACCAGGGATTTCATTTTGTTGGGTTTCTTGAGCTTCTTTCGAACTCGAAATAGCAAGCGACTGATGAAAATCCTAGCTTCGACTTTGTCTTTTATACTCTTATTTTCCAACCTATATCTACGCCGCGTACGTCATCCACCCCGTACGAACGCGTGTCAGTCGGTTTCATAGTGGCCAGGCTATCGCGGCTTGTCGCGAGCGGGCGTGGTCGGGGACTTGAATCCGTAAATCAAGACAGCGATCTAAAACGATGAACTCGTACAGCGCCAATGTTGCATCAGAAATCTCGATGGCGCGGGTTGCGCACGCAACGGCGCGCGAATGTTGCAGAAGTTTCGCGCCGAGAACGGGGCCACGGATATATTTGCATATTTTACAGCAGCTACGTATAGATCTTTTTTTCTTTTTTTATTCAACACGTTTCTTTTAGTTGTTCATATACTCGCCTCGTTACGTCTAACGATCGACCCCAAGGTTTCGGTCGAAAGAGGGAGAAAGATAGATCAGCTGCGGTTGAATTTAGGGTTCGATTATAAGATGCAATCCGCGCGAGATGTTGCGAAACTGACTTTCGATTTTGCGTGAGACGGCCTTGAATACGCGGCGGTCAATGGACTAAAATGTTCGATCGCCGATATAGGAAAGCAGGAAATGCTGCCTTGAAAGTCTAGTCAAATGTTACAACATACAAAAGCAATTGACCGTATCCACGCGCCACCAATTCCATTTTTTCACGTGGCCTCTATTTTTCCTCCCCGAACGCTATTTATTCCACGTGCGCGCGCTACGCGATAATATAATTTTATTATCCGTTTGCGAAACAGATTGCAAGGACTGCTCTCGTGAGCTTTCATCTTCCAAGGTGCCGGATGAGAATACATCTGCATCTAAGATGTAAATCATCACATCGCGTTCTTGATTTTTTTTACTGAGATACTACTTGGATAGAAGATAAATATAGAGTTAAGAATTCCTGGAAAAGATTCCTTGATCCTAGGAAAATCTTCAAAGTTCGTAGACATCTAAATCTTTGCTTTCTGTGTAATGGGCAATGCATCTGTTTATTCTGTCTTCATTGTCTAATGATAAAAGTACACTGTACACCGTAGAATTCCACTTATCTGATCCCATCGGTGGAACAAACACTTTGTATAATTGCAGACTCTATAATAGAAGTCCACTCATTCTCTCCACTGCCTATAATTCCTCGCATAATAGCAGTTCGCGTTTAGATAAGTAGATTCAATCGACAAGTGTTCATTTAAACGGACGCTAACTACAGCTTCGCTTCAATAAACGTAGCTGCATCGTAATCAAAGCTCACCGTCTCGCGCAAGAGAAGAATCAAAGTACAAAGGAGCAACTTTTACTTCTCGCCAAGCAAGCAAATTGCAAAACATTCCAAAATCCGATTCGCATCTTAATAATGGAAAGTGGTAGTCGGCAGGGAACTGGTCTGCAACAAGTTATAACAATTGTGCACTACGGGCACAGACCGTGCAGGCCAGCGTCTTTGTTCTGCTTTTCTGCGCACGGAATTCCAAAGAGTCTGTATCTTTACGAGGGAAACAGGGCGCGGTGACCATTTTTCCTTACTCATCATCGGAGGTTATACGTAATGGACTATATAACGGTTCAAGCCGGTTCGAAATGGTTCAGTAGACAACGGTATACTGGCGGGAAAATTCCGCGGGATACAGAGATAATAAGAGAAAAGAAAAACGGATTTGTCGAACGGACCGAGCCATGAAGTTGCTGGTAAGCTGAGAAACTTTATCGTAGCTCATCGAGCAAGTCGAAGAAGAAATTGTTACGAAAATAGGGGGAATCCGTGCAGCAGTTCCTGATGAGAAAACTTTAATCTGTTAGCTCGTAATGCACTTTCGTGTCGTCAGTGAAATATGAACGGCTCGCCGTCTCTGACCAATGTTTCATTGATATATAGAGCGCCGCAGTGTTAGCTGACAGTCGGATAATTGAAACGTATGGCCGCGTTCTATAACTTTGATTAAGATGGGTAATCCATTGATTCCGTTTAAATACGTCGCATAATTGTCGCGTTACAGTGATAATGGTCTGACAGTTATGACGGTGAAATTTCGTCGCGTTAAAGTACGGGAATAACATCGCGTATCAATTTATTCTTCTAATTGAAATCTCTGCTATGAAAGATCGATTTTTAAACTTTTTTTATCATTACGATTCCCTAGAATCTAATCGATATCGACGCAATATTTTTCAAAATTTTCTCATCGTTACGAATTCTATCCAATCCTAGTTTCATCGCAAGTCCAATCATCGATTCGTCGATCAGTTTCGATCGTTACTTAAGACCTATGATCAAGGGAGCGAATTGTTTCTCTGGGGAAGCGTTCGCGGCGTTAAAAAAATTTGGCCTAATGCTGTCCACGTAGATGCAACGATGGGTGCAGCGATGACGTGTTCATGCGCGGCACGTCTGCCGGAAAACCGAGTTATGCAAATTCTCGATGCGTATGTGATTCTATCCGTGGCCACTGGATCGTGTATATGCGTGTCGGATATTGTTCTCGAATCAGCCGTCTCGTTAACTCGACTTACAGCAGCAGATCATGTTTAAACTATGATCAATCTAGTTATCCTTATTACAATCGACGTTTGTTAAAACCTCGTGAAGACAACATTCGTTAACAAAACATAGCTTCCATTTGGCACGAGATAACGCAGGTTCGAATGGTAATTTCGAAATTTCTCAACGTAGTTGTGAATAGCTGACGTTCGAGCGTTAGACTTGGAGAGAAACCGTGCATTTAGGACCTAAGTACGTATACTCGACAGAATCGAACTCGGCAAAGATCAAAG